AGTGTTCTTTGACAAACATGGATGCCTCCAGTAAAGCACATTCACATGAAAATTACTCTGAATTAAAAACACGGATCATTTATTTAAAGTATTTTCAGAGTTCTGAATGACTTTTCCTTTAATGCATCATTTCTGATTGTTCCTTCTGTTTATTCTTCACTCTTTACTACAGCACCACATGACCAGCTCTCTGCACAGTGCTGGTTTTATTCCATTCTGCCCAGTATTCTCTTTCCCCTCTCAGCACTAACGAGCCTCAAATAATGGGAAAATTAGGTTTTAGAAAAAGCCCACATGTGGAACATGCAGGAACACCCCGAGGCAAACACTCCTCCTTTCTTCCACCACATTTCCTTCCAGACTCAAACCAAACAGCCAGCTCTGGTCTGGGTCCCTTCACAGGACTTTGGATTCATTGAAACCAAACCAACAGCCTCCAGGGTTCCAGTCTTCCATGCCATGAGGGTATCATGCCAAAGCTGTGAAGGTGTTAACAGGTTTATGTGAACAACCATCAGTGTTTTAACTGGGCTGGGCGGGAGCAGGCAGCCATTAGCTTATATAACCTTCTGACAGCTCCCAGCTGGCCTTTAACTCTGCATGAAGAGCTGGATCATTCTGGTTTCCAACCCACAGAGAGCTGCCATCACCTCAGTGCAGCATATCCCAGCTCTCAGTGCTGTTATTCAGACAGCAGCAGTGAGAGAAACACCAGCAGTTATGCAGGTAGGCAGAGACCAACGTTCCCATGATCAGTTCATCTCTGATGGAAACTAATGACTTTAGATGAAGAGCTTGAGGCTGAATTAGTTGATCTGGGCCGTCATTCTAACGGTTTCCAGCAGGGAGCGCCACCTGCACCATGGAGCAGACTTATTTGGCCATAAATACTGTATAAGTAATAAAATAATAACAATAATATTAGGGAAAAAACCCAGATTGGTCTGCTGTGAAAGGATACGGTTCCAACCATCTGGAACTCTGAATAGTTGTCTGACTTCCAGCTGCTGAACCAGTGGCAGCGTGAGTCCTTCATGAAGGAGAACATCCCTGGAACACAAAGAACTGTTNATCTTTGATATGGCCCTACTCTGTGAATTTTAGAGATATCAATCTGAATTTTTCAGAATACATTCTTAACATTGTGTAGAATGGTTTTATACATTAAGTTGAGATTCACCAAAAAATGACTTTAGCTGGGTTTTCATAGGCAGGGTCACATATGATTGGCTGAATTTAGGTGTTCAGGCTGACGTAGAACTAACTGGCCTGCACAAGATAACGAAAATAACACAGATTTTGAGATAGGATCTTTTATCAAATAGAAATTTTTTTAATTGTGGGACGATATGGTCTGATAAAGGATACATTTATATACATGTTTAAGCCAGAACGATTTGACATTTAAAGAGGATTTCCCTACAATTTTAAATTAAAATCTGAATACATGCAATAGTAAAATAAAAGTCGAAATCATTTCCCATTTTAAAAATAATCCCCCTATTGCCACTAGAGGGTGCTGCAGCACCCCCACTTCCCGAGGCCATGCCGTTAGAAGCTGGACTATATGAGGTTAGCTGGTCGTTTTGCATCAGAACTGTGGAGTAACGTTAATGTTTATCCATGTGTCATGGCTGCAGCTCTGCGGGGGAATCTCACCATAGTCGGTGTGGAAGATCTGACGCACCAGCAGCAGGAACCACTCCTTCGTCAGGCCGCCCATGTCAAGCCCCGCCTCCCCGACAAACGTCACCCGCAGCTTCTTCTTCAGGTCGCACCGTTTCCTCATCAGCTGCACAGAGACATAAGTCGTTTAGAAAATACACGTTCTCATGCTGCTTCTGTGGCTCCGTCACTGTAAACACAGATCCATGAAGGATCACAGATGTGTGGTGAGAACCTCACAGCGAGAAGAAAAGCTTCCAGATTTACGATCAGGTTTAGCTTGGATGGAGCTCTGCAGACATTCCTGCTAATCTTCAGTTATATTAACAGGCCACTCCCACCCAGTGTTCCCACTGCTCTGATTAGCCTTTCCCTCAGTGGCTCATCATGGAAACAGTGCAGATCACAGTAAACTCCAGCTGACATCACGTCCATCAGGGAGATTCCCTCCTGCTGCCTAAAGGTTGATTGATTTAGACTTCAAAGCAGATAATAGTGATTAAACCTCCAGAAATCCTGAACCCTCTGGATGAGTGTGACCAGGAACTGAAAGATCGTTCTGGAAGATCACAACCGTTTATTCCACCCATCCTCCATCCATCCATCCATCCATCCATCCATC